CCAAGCTTAGCATGGCCAACGGCCACCTAGCTACCGGCATTTTCCGAGCCTCCTCTCTCCCTTTCCTCACCCTCTCCCTAATTGCCGCTTAATTAGCCGCTTGTTTCTACCCCAACCCCTCCCCAACCCCTGGAGTAAAATATTATCTTAAGTGTAAATGATGCGGGTAATACATTAACCTATAGTCTTTACCGCAAATCCATGTACGCGGAAAGTAAATTAATAATGTTATTAGACTGCCCCGCTTTGGTGCTCTCATCATCTACTTCCTTTCCTGGTGATGTTATTTATGCTTCCTTTCCTGGTGAGGCTATTTATGCTTACGCTCTTAAAAAAGCCATCGGATCTAACGGTCTTCCAAGAACGCTACCGTGAAATAATCTTCGCAGCACATGAAACGCGTTTTGTTTTGAAAGAGAAATGCTCGAGTATGACAGGAAGTCCTTTATAAAAAAAGATTCTTCTGTGCGTAGATGTTGTTAGGAAATGAACATTTTTGCAAAAGCTGGCACATTTGGAGTGTTTCTTTATCTGCATGTAATCCATAGTCCGAAACTTTGGTTACTACAGCACTGTCTGTTAGTATTTGGCAGGGTTCTCTTCAAGAGGGAACTTGGTCGAGTTCACTTTCGGTAGAATGTATCGGCTAATAAAGAGACTGGTCGGCGTTCCAGTGCATTCCATGTGCTTCACGCCAACGCTAGCGGAGACGTCCAGATGGGTGTAGGCAATCTTGTTCTTGCGTTCCTGATAGCCCCACTATAACCACAATATAAATGGTAAGAATTGAGAAATATCAAAAACTAAAAATAATGTTGGTTGGGCCAGCATGCTCTGGAGCGAAAGACTGTGCCGCAGAAAAATCACACCAAAAGGCGGTTTTACTTCTGAATAATCTTCTACTGGAAGTTTCTACGGGCCTAATTTCGAGATTCTAAGTAAAAATTAAAAAAAACTTTTTAAACGACTTGGAACGTCTTTTTGGGAACATACCTTGTCCAAACCAGACGCGACTGCCATGAAGCCGGCAGGCATTTGAAAGCCTCTGTACTTCGCGGTTTCCGGTTTGTTGTTGAACTGCAGGAGGTCAAATTCGTCATCTGTGTCGGGTCGGTTTACTTCATAGTCGTCTTTGCGAAGTGTGTTTTTCTTTAAAAAATAGTAAAAACACGTTTATTGCAAAACAAATTATAATTATGCGGACTGTTAAGTTTTGTTTCAGCATCGGGCTGCTAAACCTCACGTCAAACTAATTCTTGGCTCGGGCATTCAGCTTACCTCGACAAGGTCAGCGATATTGTTGCCTGCGACTTCCATGATTTCCGTCGTTTTTAGGCTGCGCGATTTTCCGTTGCCCAGCATCGCCTTTAAAAAAGCAAAAAAACGTTAAGATATGTTAAACTAAGGAAAAAATATGTGCAAAAGTCCTTTAAATTTTGAACATCGCCTGCTATTCAGATATTTTGAAGTGTTTAAAGTCACTATGCAATGCAATATAAACTGATTTCGTTTAAACAACACGGTGCTAACTACTGGCATACCGTAAAATGCAAGAAGGACCTTCCGACAGCTCCTGTTAGCGTTGCAATTGTATATATATGCGCGTTCGTCATGTTCTCTTTCTCAGCCTTTTATCAACAAAAATACTGTAAATATCAAAACACAAAAATATACAACAGTAAAGATAGAAAAGCTACACGAATATGGCCGGCTGCAGATGTGTGTTAAACCAAAAAAATGATGTTTTGATTTTCCAAAGTTTTCTGGCGTCCTTCTATACGCAAAAGTATACATATATATTTGTATACTGAAAAGTCAGTTTGGAAAAAATACGTTATTTGTCAGTTCTCGTTGGACCGCAAATATATATATATATGTATTGACCGAGTGCTGCAGGAAATACTTAGAAGAAATCGGGATAGCTAGCCTGAACTAGCTCTTTGTTATGCAAATGAAGGTACAAGAATACCGAATGCAGTCAGTATAAGTACAGTAGTCGTCGGCTATTAAGCCCACCTCGGGCCCAGACCAAATTGGGCT